AGGGTGTTTTATAGTACCCTGTGAAAATATACAAGATAACGTGGGATATATCCTTGAATTTTGGGTTTATAAGAGATTTAATCTGTGCCTACAGAAAGTACAATTAAATCTATTGTAAATCCTTCAAAATGGGAAAATTCAGAATTTACTTCTTTCATTTAGAAGGGAGAACTTATTAGTGGTTTATTTCCAGAACAGATGAGAGATTATAAAACTAATTTGGTTTCTTCAAATGAATTGAAGAATTCAGTGCATACCCACCTGTCTACCTCTGTTCACTTCATTTTTATTTCTTCATAATTATTTGCAGGAAGCACCTTGTTTACCCCATGTGTAGTTGTATAGTTTGTGTTGCATTTAAGCCTTTGCCTTCACACCCAGTCTTATTAAAGGATTTCATAGCATAATGCTAATTAATTAAAAATTTCTTAAGCAATGAATTAGAGGTGACTGCAAAAGAAGAATAAAATGTAAAATACAAGATTTCTCATTTAAATGCAACCCCGGTGATAATAATTACTGTGCCGTAATCTCTGGCCCAAGAGACAGACTTTCTTTTATTTTTTGTGGTTTTTTTGTTTGTTTCTTAAAATATGTTTTTATTGATTTTATAGGGGATGGGAGAGGGAGAAAGAGAAACATCAATGATGGGAGAGAATCATTGGTCGGCTGCCTCCTGCATGCCTCCTACTGGGGATCAAGCCCCAACCAGGTATGTGCCCTGACTGGGAATTGAACCAGGATCTCCTGGTCAATGTTCAACCACTGAGCCACACCAGCTGGGGGCAGACAAATTCTCTTAGTGGGCCTATATTGTGTTTCACCACCAGCACTGGCCACTTTATGGGGAGTCATGCAAGAAACTAGGTGTAGAATGGAACTTGCGTGGGTGTTCTTCTGTACAAGTAGTTCTAATAAATTACAGCTACCGCTCCCAAAAAGTCTTCTATACTCAGCAGCACATTTTCTGTAATCTAAGAAACTCCAAATAAATCTTTTAAATGGCTTCAAAATGATTCCCTTCAAAAGGTACTGAGTCTAATTGTTCTGATGTGAAAGAACTTCTGAAAGAGAAGTTCAATTAGTGTTTTCTGAGTCCTCATAATATATTAGTCATAAAACAAAACAATGCCCTTTATTTTTACCCTGTATATACAGTGTTTTCCAGCTGAGCTTACACTTCAGAATCACCTTTGGTGCTATGCTTACATCCACTACTAGAATTCTATTTTAGTAGGTTTGAAATGAAGTAAAAGCATCTGTTTTTTAAAGTTTTAGAGACGTTTCTAATAGCCACACTTCCAGTTGAGTAACACTACCAGCTTATATTTGAATTTATACCACACCTATTCTATATAACATGTAAGCAACTCTCATTCATACTGGTTCTATGGCTTTACAAAGAGGAACTTAGAAAGTAGCTATAGTCAGAATTTTGGACGTAAAAGGGAACCATTCTAAACCTTTCCTCTTTACAGAGTTGGTAGCAGAACCAAATACTAGGTCCAAGACTGACTTGAACTCTTTCTGCACTAGCTTCTTGAGCCTAGTTCTTCTTTGAGAAAGCTTCAAAGCCACTCAGTAATCTAGAAATTGTCTTGAGCATCCCAAAGCCTGCCAGGGTATTGTGAAGTCTCAGAGTATTTAATAAAAGGAACAGTAATGCAGCCAGCAGGAAGTTCTCACAGTTTTGAAGTTACTAGGCAGGAGTAATGGGTAATATAACGTATAGTTAGAAATTATAGTCATCACTCAGAATGCTTTTGTGACTTCTTTGTAAACATGTAACTTTCTGACAAGAGATGCCTAGATTTCGTACTAACGATTATCAGGAACAAGGTGATCATTTGTCCTGTTTAAACTAATCCTTAAGCAGGAAGTCTAAGAAATTATGTCAGTATTATATTTTTAAGCAGGCCTGACTTTTAGCTTACTTCAGAAGGAGGATATTGTGCCCAGATACACAGTTTAACCAACTAAAGGAATAATATACTTATTAATTATGAGTAAATTTGGCTATAAAAAAACCCAATCAGTAATAGGCCAGTCAAGGTATAGAGATTGATTTTTCTTTTGGATTAAAAAAGTCCAGAGAGCCCTGCTGGTTTTGCTCAGTGGTTAGAATGTCGGTCCTCGGACCAATGGGTTGCAGGTTCAATTCCTGGTCAATCCCTGGCCCCGGTCAGGGTGAGTATTGGAGGCAACAAGTTGATGTGTCTCGCTCACATCAGTGTTCCTCCTCCTTTCCTGCTCTCCCTCTCCTTTTCCCCCCTCTCTCCCTCTCTCCTTCTTTTCCACTCTCCAAAGATCAATGGAAAAAAATACCCTCGGGTGAGGATTTTTAAAAAAATTCCAGAGGGAAGGGAAGTCCACCATTGGTATGGTTACTTCATAGCCATCAGGAGCTCAGGTTCTTTTATTTATTTTTTATTTTATTTTAGAGATAGGAAAGGGGAGAGAGAGACAGACACAATGATGTGAGAGAGAAACATTGACCAGTTGCCTCCCGTATATGCCCAGACCGGGGATAGAACCCACAACCTTTTGGTGTATGGAATGACACTCCAACCAACTGAGCCACCCAGCCAGGGCTGTTTCATCCACTCTTGGCACTAACTTATATCCTTAAAGTGTCTGATAGTTCTAGATGGCTTCTGGAGCTTCAGCCATCATCGAAGGGGCATGGCTCCAACTTGAGTCATCTTCCTTGAAAGAGCTTTTCTAGAACCACCTCATTCAACAATTTCTGCTTCCATCTCACCTGTCATTCCTATTATCAAGGGAGGCTGGAAAGATATGTATAACTGGGAAGGTTGTTATTCACTATAATTAGGAATTCTGTTATTAAGAAAGAAGAGAGTAGATGTTGGGCAGGTGACTAACAGATCTGCTACAGCATGTTTTTCAAGAATATAATACTTAAATATTAGGAAAACCAAATTTTAGTGACATCAAAAACTATTATTCAGAATATAAATTTAAAAGATCTCTGGCTGGTGTGGCTGCCCTGGCTGGTGTGGCTCATTTGGTTGAGCATCATCCATGCACCGAAAGGTTGCTGGTTTGATTCCCAGTCAGGCACATACCCAGGTTGTAGGCTTGATCCCTGGTCAAGGTGCATAGGGGAGGCAGCGATTTGATGTTTCTCTCTCCCTCTCTCTTCCTTTTACTCTAAAACCAATAAAAATATATTTTAAAATAACCCCAAACTACCCTCTACCATGTATTTGGTTAATAAAAGCAATACGTCCCCGTGATAGAGTTCTGTTTTGGCTTTCTCGGCAGGACTCGTTGGGAACAGCTGTTAGGTTTTGTATATTTTAAATAAACGAAAGAATGAGTTCTTCAAAACAACAGGGGAAAAAGACTTTCAAATTAAATTCTGTTTCCTTTTGGAGATAGGAAGAATCAAAACAAGCACAAAGACAATTCAGTGGACATTTATGGAACTAGCAGGAGCAGAATATACTATATTAGATGATTTGAGGTAGGAATGAATTTATGAAAACACTCATTGTTTAGTATTTAGATGGAACAAGGTAGACTGATGCAGTACATTAAATAGTTTAACATATATATTATAGCTAACTCCAGATATATAAGACCTATCCTGGAGAGAATGATGGACACAGTAGGTTAAAACTTTAAGTAGTAAATATTGTATTAGTTCATTTGGGCTGTTATGTCAAAATACCACACATACTGGATGGCTTATAAACACAGAAATTTATTTCTCACAGTTCCAGAACTTGGAAGTCCAAGATCAGGGTGCCAACATGGTTAGTTAGGTTCTGGTGAAGGCCTCTTCTGTGTTGCAGACTGAATGGGTAAAGGATCTCTAAGGGGGTCTCTTTCATAAAGGTATTTGTAGGCAAAAACAAGCAGTAATCTGCATCATATGCAACTGTAGGCTATGGTATACATAAATGTGTAAGATGGAAATGTTTGTGCTCTGTGAGACCAGATTTTTAAAATGATCTGGGCCTCATTCATAATCACTGTTCACATGGTGCTATCTAACACATATTCACTGTATACCTCACATTTACAATACACTTTCTTATCAAGTTGCCACTTAGGTAAGAAAGTCTAGATTTTGGCTTCGTATGGCTATGAATTTTAAATCTGGGGAAAACCTGGCCTTGTATTTTCCCCCCTTTTCCTTTTATAATTACTTATCAGTAACCAAAGCTTGTCTGTTGACTTTGCTCCAACTAATAGAAAACAGGAAACTACAGAGCCTCCCTGTGAGAAGAGGGCCAGGCTGTACCCTCTGTGACCTCACCACTTCAGTTTGATTTGATTTGTCCTTGAGGAAACAATTGTAAACAGCTTCACATGTGGCTTTGGCAGTAGGCATAGGAAATGCAAATTAAACCAACTAATGCAGCAGGGTCTGTTAGTCTGGCTTTTGAGCAAGCCATTTTTGAACCTATTATGATAGTACACTTTTGGGCACCCTTGGGGAAGAATAGTTTACACTGTGATCAAGTAATGGATCAGGAACTCTTCTCGGTCTTATATAGCAGTAGATAGGCCATTTGCACTCTGGTATTAAATAACTGCTTATTTGAACTTAATTGTGCAATGACTTAGCTGTTCCCACCCTTTATTACAGTGATTCTCAACCTTCTGGCCCTTTAAATACAGCTCCTCTTGCTGTGACCCAACCATAAAATTATTTTCATAGCTACTTCATAACTGTAATGTTGCTACTGTTATGAATCGTAATGTAAATATCTGATATGCAGGATGGTCTTAGGCAACCCCTGTGAAAGGATCGTTCGACCGCCAAAGGGGTTGTGACCCACAGGTTGAGAACCACTGCTTTATTAGTTCCCTTTGTCGCCTGTTGTGCTCAGTTTAGTTCTCCAGTAGGGATTATGAAAGAAAATGGAAACCTCACAAGTTGTACTTTCTTTATAACTCAGTGCTGATACAGCTGTCATATTTTGGTTTTTGTATTCTCCATTCTGCACCCACTTCCCCTCTGCTTTCAGGTGAAGGTCTCCCACAGGTATATTACTTTGGACCGTGTGGGAAATACAATGCCATGGTGCTGGAGCTCCTCGGCCCTAGCTTGGAGGACTTGTTTGACCTCTGTGACCGAACTTTTACTTTGAAGACTGTGTTAATGATAGCCATTCAGTTGGTAAGTTGACATTGCTATTCTGCAAACGGTTAGTCAGCCCCACCCCCCAACACATCCTTTTGTCCCTTTTGGTGATTGACCAGATGTAGTGGCATCTAGTGAATGTGCACTCACAGGCTTGATAGTGCATTCCGGGGCAAAAAGGACTAACCCAGAAAAGTCAGGCTGCATCTGCTCTTTGATCTGTTTTAAGAATTTGCACTTTGGAACTGAGCCCTGCCCTTATCTGAAGTGGAAGCATATAATTTAGGTTAGAAAGAAAGAGGGTGATTAGGTGAAGTTGTACAAATGCAAATAATTTCTCAGATGTTTTATTTATAGGTTTAAACACGACTGTAAGGTTTTGTCATGTCCTCCCCTCTCCCCTTACTGTTGCATCCAAGAAGAGCTTGGAGATGTAATCCACTGCCCTATTAAGATTCCAAAATTGTGTGACCAAGAACCTGCCTTAGTTCTCTGGCCTTCACTTCTCACAGAATGACATAGCTAAGGAGGCAGCTCTCTCAGCTCCTACCAAATTACACACCATTACCAGTTTGAGCAGTTAAGATAGTTCCTTTGAGAAGTCTGTCAGCCCCTCAGAGGAGGATGCAAATGCATCTTTATTGGACTAAGGTGGTAATGGTCTCCTCCACTTTACAGCAAAAACTTGGAAATGTTGGAAAATTGACTTTATATTTTGAACCCAAAATTCAAATGTCCATGCTTCCCTTTCTGTATTAAGTAAGTAGAAAAGCTTTGTAGCTAGAAATGAACTTAATGAAATTTGAAATACTTTTATGATTATTATTTTAGGATAATTTTACTTTCATATATAAATCATACCTTTACCTTTGCTACTAATTAGCTCTGTGATATCAGCCCAGCATTAACTTCTCTGGGCCTCACTTGCCTTAGTTCCACAACTGAGAGAGCTGAACTGGGGAATCCTGTTCAGCTGAGAGGAAGGTGTGGGCAGGATGTGAATGTGGCAGTGGCACTGTCTTCAAAGGCTGCCAACGTAGTTTGATGCACTGTCTCTGCAGAGATACTTCTTGCTTCTCAAATGCTTACTTTCTGAAATAGCATAAAAACACTTAATTCCATTTACCATTTGCAAATTGTAACATTATAAGGCTTACCCCACTCTTTTATCTGGATATTTGTTATGTGAATATTAGTATCAGAAAATATTTTCTGGCGGATAAGAGTGAAGTGACTCTGGGTGGTGAAGAAGAAATTAGTTTTATTTTCATTTCAGTAAGTAAAATCTTGGCTGATAAAGCAAATGTTTTCATGTATTTTTTCAGTAGTCTTGTTTAGAGTATTTACATCATTGTTTTTTCTCTTTCAGCTTTCTCGAATGGAATATGTGCACTCAAAGAATCTCATTTATCGAGATGTCAAGCCAGAGAACTTCCTGATTGGCCGGCAAGGCAATAAGAAAGAGCATGTTATACACATTATAGACTTTGGACTGGCTAAGGAATACATAGACGCTGAAACCAAAAAACATATACCTTATAGGGAACACAAAAGTTTAACTGGAACTGCAAGATATATGTCTATCAACACGCATCTTGGCAAAGGTGTGTTTATTTCCTGCTCCGTGAACAGGGCAGCTTTTTAAAACAACTTTTTATTCTAATAATACTTTGTCCCCATTGTGCATTACAACTTGTGATTCTTATTGCTTCGCATGGTAAGTGGATTTTTATACTTGAGAACTTACGATGGTAAGTTAATGAATTTCCTGAGTATCCTGTTGGACAGCTTAAGGATTTTAATTCTTTATACAGTTGGCCCTTGAAAAACATGGGTTTGACTTCACAGATCCACTTATATGGTTTTTTTTCTATGAACACTGTAAATGTATTTTCTTTCTAATTTTCTTAATTTCTTTGCTATAGCTTACTTCATTGTAAGGATATAACATATAATACAAATAACATACATATGTGTTAATTAACTATGTTACTGGTAAAACTTCTAGTCAACAGTAAGTTATTAGTAGTTAGGTTTTTGGGGAGTCAAAAGTTATATATAGATTTTTTTTAATATATTTTATTGATTTTTTACAGAGAGGAAGTGAGAGATATAGAAAGTTTGAAACATCGATGAGAGAGAAACATCGATCAGCTGCCTCCTGCACATCTCCTACTGGGGATGTGCCCGCAACCCAGGTACATGCCCTTGACCGAAATCGAACCTGGGACCCTTCAGTCCGCAAGCCGACGCTCTATCCACTGAGCCAAACCGGATTCCGCTAAAAAATTCTTTATTAGTTAAGGTATTACAAATGTGTCCTCATCCCCCCCCATTTAACCCCCATCCTCCCCCCGCATATATAGATTTTTGACTGCAAGCAACCGGCATCCTTAACCCCGTGTCCAGGGTCAACCTTGCTATGTTTCCAAATGTTTAATTTTTCAGCAGTGTGGGTAATAGACTTACTGTATTAAGGTGGTAGTATTGGAATAAGTTTAGTGATGAGTTTGGTAGGGATGACCTTGTATATGACATCTGCTTTGGGGAAGAGTGCTTCACTAAAACATGAATTAGTCTTGTGTTCACTGTGCATAATTCCATGAATACTTCTTTAAGGAAGAGGTTATGTCTTATTCAGTGAAAATATATTTGCTTTTCCATGAATCTTACACTTTATACATGATAGTTTGCACAAATATTTCATAATGCTCTAATCAAGGCAAAAGGCCTTATTTGTGAGAAGAAATGGTCCAGAGGAGAATTTTTGTGAGAGAAGCTGAAAGAACAGTGGAAGCCACCGAAACCGGTTTGGCTCAGTGGATAGAGCGTCGGCCTGCGGACTGAAAGGTCCCAGGTTCGATTCCGGTCAAGGTCATGTACCTGGGTTGCAGGCACATCCCTGGTGGGGGATGTGCAGGAGGCGGCTGATCGATGTTTCTCTCTCATCGATGTTTCTGACTCTCTATCTCTATCCCTTCTTCTCTGTAAAAAATCAATAAAATATATTAAAAAAAAAAAAGAACAGTGGAAGCCAACTCAGCAGGGTCCTGGGCCTCGCCAGCTTCTCCAGAAAAGCTTTCCTTTTTATATGTTTTATATATTGTTCTTTCATGGAAGATTCTGTTTGGAGACAAGTTCCACAGTGATTGAAAAAAAAAATGTTTGGAAATCACCACACTAGAGAGTAAACATATAAATGGAATGTTATCAAGTTTCATAACCATAGACATAGCTAATTATATCAGGTGTTTAAATATTAATGAACTGTGGTACACTAATAAGTATTTTTTTCACTAATATGTATTTTAAAGACTAAGATAAATAGCTACAAAGTTGCCTTATAAACTGTACAGGTATTCAGATAGTGAATTAGTATTAGCAAAGATTAAAATGACATTACAAAGTAGTGTGATACAACTTTAGTTGAAATCATGAATGCTGTCAGAATTTTTTCAGTAACCACATGGAAATCCTCATTTAACTAAATGTAATACTTTAAAATTAGACTAGAATCTCTGCTACTTATTATCAGTGTCACTTTGGATAATTTTCTTAATCTCCCTGAAACTTATCTGTAAAATAAGACTAATATTTCACAAGGATGCTTTGAAGATTGAATGGGTAATATATGTAACACAGGTCTCTTGCATAGTGCTCAATATTTCCTTCTTCCTTTTTACAAGGAGACAGACTGTGTTGTAAATAGTAAAGTCATAATTGCTTGGTTTTACTGAGACTGGAAATTATTGTTCCAGTGTGTGCTTCCTGGGCTCAGCAATTTGTGTTCTGCCTTTATTATTCTTGTCAGGAAAGGCAAGTACAGACAAGGGGAGGAGTGGGTATGTGTTATATTTGTATAAGGTTAAGAAAAATGGATACAAATCTTGGCTTTTTCATTTAAAACTATGATTTTGGTCCAGTAACCTTCCTCCCTCAGCTTCAGTTATCTTAATCTATGAAATGGGTATGATAAACTTTATATTATAGGTTTGTGTGAGAAAATGCATACAAAGTGTTTAACATAGTGTCTGATAGTAGTAAAGACTCTGTAATGGTAATTACCACTTCTTTATTCAACAAAATGTTTTAAGCACCCACTTTTGTCAGACTAGCTTTCTTCATTCTTGGTGTAGCCATTTCTATTGGAACTTAGAGTTTATCTCCAAACTTTGACTTCCTAGTTCCACAGTTTTTCATAGGTCCAATTCAACCTGTCACCATATTTTATCCTTACAGTACCACAGAGAATACATATAGAAGGTTATCAAATGCCCTTTAAACTCTGACCAGGGTCTCCAGGAACTCTGTCCTATTAGTATTAGCAAAGAGTAAAAATGACATTATAATGTAGTGTGATATAACTTAAGTTGAAATCATGAATGATAAAGCCCTAAACTTGATTCTGATAAATAAACACATAAATTTTTAAATGTGTAGCATCCTTTATGTTGTAATGAAGAAAAAGGGAAGTGTATTTCCAAATGACTTGGAGAGAATTGCCAATAATTTTGTGAGGAAAGATGCTTCCTAAACCAGATCTTGCCACATGAGATTAGCCACGTTCCCCACTGATTAAGCCCTGGTTAAGGCAGCCTTTAAGTAGTCTTTAATCATTGAAGTTAGGGTGAGAACATTGGGTAATCCAGCCCCTTTCCTACAACAAAATGTATTTGACCTAAAATCAGGGATGTGATGCATGTAAACTAGACTCATCTTTCTGATTGGTTGAAAGCAAGCCTTTATTGTGTGGAAACATTTTATGTCCTACTGGTCTCACTGGCATTGAAATCTTTCTTCTTTAAAATGAAAATATCTTGCATGAATAAATAAGGGCGTGTGAGAATACTGACTTGAATATAGAATGTTCAAAGAAATAGGGAAATAAAGCATGGCTCTGGTTTTCACTTTTTTCTTGAAAGGTCCTAATGGCTTAAATTATCATAGGTTATTTTAGAGCTGGAAAATGACTTTTCAGATTACCTCCGTGGTCAACAAACTGCGGCTCGCGAGCCACATGCGGCTCTTTGGCCCCTGAGTGTGGCTCTTCCACAAAATACCGAGTGCGGGCGTGCACGTACAGTGCGATTGAAATTTCGTGGCCCATGCGCAGAAGTTGGTCTTTTGTGGAAGAGCCACCCTCAGGGGGCCAAAGAGCCGCATGTGGATCGCGAGCCACAGTTTGCCAACCACTGAATTAGCACTTTATCAGCAGAGGAGATTAGAGCCCACACTTCTTGGTGCTCAGTTCATTCAGCCCTATTTGTTAGTACGTGCTTGTCCGCACGTGGTATTTTGTGGAAGAGCCACACTCAAGGGGCCAAAGAGCCGCATGTGGCTCGCGAGCCCACAGTTTGCCGACCACTGACTACGGCAACCACTTTATTTTCAAATGAGGAAATTTAGGCCCAAAGTAGATGACTTGATCATGCTGAATTTCACATGGATTAAATAAATGGAAAGGATGGGTCAAGAGCTAGATGACTTGACTCAGAACTATTGTTTTTCCTATTATCCCATATTCCACAGCTATTTTTCATGGTTCTCAGTTTTTGAAAATTACTTATTCCAATGGGCTTAATGTTTATTTATTTATTTTTATCTCATTTTTATAATGAATGGTCTTTGCTGTGAAAAGAAAGTCTTTTTCTGTAGGGCTGATCAGTATTGAAAATGTGGAGAGTTTCGCCCTCTTGTGGTCAACTAACTAAAGTGCAGCCATTTATCCAGTGAATCTTTTATTACCAAGGGGCCTCTTGTTACAGGAAGTGAATGTAAAAATGGAGAGCTGATGAGTAGGTGTGATGTAGTGTGAGAAACTGCAGGGTGTGATTTCTCTATCTGCCCTGATTCCTGGGAGGCCTCGATTGAACCTGCCTCTTCTTTTTTTAATTTGTTTTATCTTTAAGTTCTGTTAACAAACTCTGCTTTTGTGTAATGGCTTTTTGTTTTCAATTGTGAATAAAGTTTATTGCAAACTTCAGGCAAGCCGAGTAGACAAAAGCTCCTGGTTTATTTTATTCTTTTTAAGATCATTTCAATTGATGTACTCAATTTTATGTTATTTTTATATCTTATCAGGGTGCCTTTAGTGTCCACCTTTCCAAAAACCTCCTTCCCATTAGTGACCCCCTTTCCTAAAGCCTCCTTCAAACAGTAAAAATTAGAAAGTTTCCTTTTCTTTGTTTTTCTGTTTTAAGGAATACTATTCACTCTTTTTCATGCAAATTTCCCATGATTGGTGGCAGCATTTAAACAGGTTGTGCTGTGGTGTTTTGAGTTAGTTGAATAGCTTTCCCAGCCTCCCTGACTCCTGGGTTTTACTTTCTGCACAGTGAAAGCACAGTCAAATTTAAAGTAGCCCTTTAGTCTTGCTTCTGTAATTTTTTTTTATAAAGCCCTAAACTTGATTCTGAAAAATAAACACATAAAATGTCTGAGTTGAACCATAATTGGCAAATTAGAAATGGAGGTGTATACTACTTAAATTCAGTCTGACATCCAAAGGTGGTATAGGATGTTTTCTGAGATGAAGTTATAATTTTTTATTAACTATTCTGCAGTTCTTTACCATTTTAATCATTACAGTTAAAAGAAAGAAAAAACCAGCAATTTGTCTTATATATATGCTCCCAGAATGCAGGGATCCTATAAGGTGCCATACAGGGCACCTTAGTAATCAGTTTTAAATTTCTCTTAAGATAGTTATAGAACATAGTACAAATAGAATGGAGCTGAGAGATTATACATTGATGTTCTATTGTATGAAGTTAAAATTTGATATTAATTTTTATGACAGAAATCACTAGCCATGTATGCTAGGCATTCTGCAGCTTGTGTCTTCACAGGCCTACCCAAAATGAATGGTTTCAACAGCTTCAGCTGCTAGTCTGCTGCTCACCTTCTCTCATGGTAACCAAGGATAATTATAGCCCATACACTGAAAATAACGTTTCATTTAAGATATCTTACTTTCAGGAAGCTGACAGCATTGAATGAGGGGTGGTTACTCACTGTTTAGTAATTTGGACTTGATTTTAGTTTAGGATTTGCTCTTTTCTCTTAATACTTTTAGGTAGAGGAGCACACATTGTTTTTCTGTCTTGATCTAAAATACTATCCCTGATTTAGATAAAGAATTAATAAGCGAGACTTTCCAGAGCAGAAGAGTTACTGAACGGACTGCTTGGTTTTGAGGGCCTTTCTGCTTTATTAACTATAAATGTAATGTGTGATCTGTCTTTCCTTTTAGAGCAAAGCCGGAGGGACGATTTGGAAGCTCTGGGCCATATGTTCATGTATTTCCTTCGAGGCAGCCTGCCCTGGCAAGGACTCAAGGTATCCTTGAAAGTGTTCAGTGGAGGACTTTGTTTCAGTACTCAGTTGGTAATGAAAGGGTTACTGATTTGATGTCTGCAGGAAGCACAAAGGGGATGATTGGCTAGAGAGATGAGAAGCAAGGACAGGTTACATCAGTCTGTGTTGTAAATGCTCACCTGGGCTTTGGAAGCTCTGTTTTGCTCCCATTTGTCTTCTTCCCCATCTGAATCCTTCTTCCTTGTTTTTGGATTTTCCATAATCTCTTCCCTTGTTCCCTCCCAGCCTTGGCAGTGCTGCTTTCCTCTCTGTCAGTATGCCTCCTCCACTACCATTATGTAGCAAGATGAGTGTTCCCAATGTGTTGGGGAATTTCTGGAACAAATTGGTGACAGCAGCTGCTACACATTTTACCAGCAAGGCCAGCAGGGCTGGGTGTGCCCCTAAGGGGAGCTGGAAGTATTTGTTCATCCTGTATAAGTTGAGTGCTCACCTAAACGAAAACAAAAATCCAGGTTTAATGTTGCTGTTCAAGTGTTTTATTGAATAAATGCCTATGCAGACAATAGTCATTCCTTGTGAACCATGTAGTTTAAATAGCCTTCTTTTGGTAGGTGTCAATACAGTACATTTCTATTAGAGTTAATTATCTATAATAATAAAAACGTAATATGCTAATCAGACCGAATGTCCTTCCGAACGACCTTCCAGATGAAGCAGGGGCTGCGAGGGAAGCCTGGGTCCCGGGTGCCAGAGGGAAGCTGGTGCCAGCAGCTAGGAGAAGGAAGGCCTACTCTTGCATGAATTTCATGCATCGGGCCTCTAGTTGATTATAAATATAACCATTATAATGACTATGCCTTTGGCTGTAGACAAGACAATGTTAAGCTTCTAACCCAGGGGTGGGCAAACTTTTTGACTCGAGGGCCACAATGGGTTCTTAGACTGGACCGGAGGCCGGAACAAAAGCATGGATGGAGTGTTTGTGTGAACTAATATAAATTCAAAGTAAACATCATTACATAAAAGGGGGCGGTCTTTTTTTTTTTTTTTTTTAGTTTTATTCATTTCAAACGGGCCGCGGCCCGAGGGCCGTAGTTTGCCCACGGCTGTACCCATGCTAAATCCCATTAGTTAGTTAAATGTGAGATATATTTTTGAGCTGTAAATTATATCAACATTGGCTCAGTGGATAGAGCATTGGCCTGCAGACTGAAGGGTCCCAAGTTCGATTCCTGTCAAGGGCACATGCCTGGGTTGCAGGCTCGATCACCAGTAGGGGGCATGCAGGAGGCTGCCGATTGATGATTCTCTCTCATCATTGATACTTCTCTCTCTGCCTTTCCCTGCCTCTGAAATCATTAAAAAATATATTTTAAAAAGTTATATCAATGTGTTAGTATGGAAAGAAACATAATCAGTAGCTTTGGCTACTTCACCACCCCAAGGGGGCAGAATGGTTGGTTTTGCTGTGTCCTAGAACATGGTCCTGAAAAGTAAGGTTTCTACTTCCCTCGGGAAGATATTTCTTTTCCCTTAACTTCCTCTAACATCTCCTCCATGGTCTTCTAGTCATATATATCTTCTCATTAATATTGACAGTTGTCAAATAGTTTCACATCCTTTTTGCTCATTATGTAGCCAAACAATGCATTCATATGCTAGTATGTATTTTATTAATTGCTTCTTGAAACTTTCTCACAGCCCGTGATAGTTTAGTGATAGTTATAGATCTAAAATTTTTCCAATTTACTTTAGAACATTACTGCTTAAAGCTGGGTACAGCAGGCTAGGTAGACCCTCAAGAGACTGCCTTGAGACCACATTATCGGTCCAAGCTCCAGGAGCCCTGTGTATAGTCCTGAGCAAACCAGACTTGTCTGCTTTGAGCCACTGACATATATCAAACCTATCTGTTAGCCATGCCTATATCATAGATAACATTTTTTCCCTCTGGAACCTCACCGTAGAAACACATTGTTTTCTATTTCTTGTTTTTTTTTTTTCCAGTAAGTATGATATAGAGCCATTTACCTACCTGTCCCCACTTGGTTTTAGGAGTATTTTTAATCTTATCATAGAGCTAAATCATTTTTTTAAAAATTGATTCCAGCCCTAACTGGTTTGGCTCAGTGGATAGAGCGTCAGCCTGCGGACTCAAGGGTCCCAGGTTCGATTCCGGTCAAGGGCATGTACCTTGTTGCAGGCACAACCCCAGTAGGGAGTGTGCAGGAGGCAGCTGATTGATGTTTCTAACTCTCTATCCCTCTCCCTTCCTCTCTGTAAAAAATATCAATAAAATATATTTAAAAGATAAATAAATTCCAGAGAGAGGAAGAGGGAGAGAGAGAAACATCTACTGGCTGTTTTCTGCACATGGATTGAACCCACAATCTGGTCATGTGCTCTGACCAGGAACCGAATCCATCACCTTTTGGTGTGTGGGATGACATTCCAACCAGCTGAGCCACTCCAGCCATGGTAAGGCTGAATCACTTTTGATCCCCAGTGGCCCTGGAAGATTACTAAGCTTCTGCAATTCTGAAAATATTGCTACATGGTATTTTTATCTTATTCTGGCCACTTGCCTCATTGATGGTGTTTATCTGAGACTACTAAATATATTTTCAAGTAAATGTTCTAGAACACATATTTAAATACATCATCTGTACTACATTTCTTATTAATGTCAGAAAAATAATTAAGAAAAATACCTAATAAATCCTGCCAATTTGAGTGAAACAACCATTCTGTTCCCAAACATACTAGACCTCTTTCCAAATAACTTTCTTTACTCTCTGCAGGCTGATACATTAAAAGAAAGATATCAAAAAATTGGTGACACCAAAAGGAATACTCCCATTGAAGCACTCTGTGAAAACTTTCCAGGTGAGATGCTAAAAGGACACTCCAGCGAATGTGAATAAGGCTTTCAAGTAGGTGAAGATTATGACTTGGGATCTCTAGTTAAAGGTGCTCCCCCGGAAAAAACTTAGTTCCTTTTATTGTTATTTAGCTCAAGATAGGTTATGTCACTTTCATTTGGTCCATAAAGAAAACACCGTGTCAAATAGTCTGTACAATATTCCTTGCTTGGCCCAGAGCTTCTGCCCATGCGAAGCATTCGGTTAATGAGCATGGCCTTTCACCTCTTTCTTAACAGAGGAGATGGCAACCTACCTGCGATATGTCAGGCGATTAGACTTCTTTGAAAAACCTGACTATGAGTATTTACGGACCCTCTTCACAGACCTCTTTGAAAGGAAAGGTTACACCTTTGACTACGCCTACGATTGGGTCGGGAGGCCTATTGTGAGTATCCTCTTTATCTACCTCCTCACCTCAGACCAGCACTACCTCATCCCTTTCCTTGCCAGACTTTCTGCTTAAATCTATAGGGGGAAACATTCCTTTGACTGTAAACTTTACATTTACCAACATTTTCAGGATGATGCCATAGATTGCTCTTACTAGAGTTAGGAAGTAGGAGTTACTCCCTTATATGTTTTTAAGGTTCTGACCAGTATGTCATAAGACACCAGAAGTTAAGCCAATTTTTTAAAAAATATATATTTTTATTGATTTCGGAGAGGAAGGGAGAGAGAATGATGAGAGAGAATCATTGATCAGCTGCCTCCTGCATGCCCCCTACTGGGGTTCAAGCCCACAACCCGGCATGTGCCCTTGACCGGAATCAAGCCCGGGTCCCTTCAGTCTGCAGGCTGATGCTCTATCCACTGAAACAAACTGGCCGCGGCATTAAGCCAGTTTTTAAGAAGAATTTTCATTTGAATGATACGGAAGCTGGTGCTACATAAGATGTTAAGGTGCTTGACTTCTAGGGTTGTAACCTAGCACCATAGGGCACTTTTGAATTTGCTCTTCTGGCCAGGGGTCACAGGGCACAAGAGCATGTTAACAGACATCACCGCAGGATGTTTTTTTATTTTCAAAGGTAAGCTACTACTCTCCAATGAAGTATTGAGGACCAAGCTGCATCCCTTTTGCAGATAAGCAAACAGAGAAGACAAGAAGACCTTGAAATTGCCCTTGGTGGCTGAAAATAATAATTACTACTATTCTAGTAGAATTTGAATGATGCAGACCTTTGCAGAGGCATTAAGTTGGACCTGTTTTCTCCATTTGACTTTGTGTTATATTTTTCCAGCCTACTCCAGTAGGGTCAGTTCATGTAGATTCTGGTGCATCTGCAATAACTCGAGAAAGCCACACACACAGGGATCGGCCATCACAACAGCCTCTACGAAATCAGGTGTGTTGGACCTTCATTGTTTCAGACATTCCCTTTATTTGTGGCTAATGTTAACACCCAAATTCTTCAGCTTCTCTATTTAAGTGTATGTATTGAAATTAACGACAAAGACCTGCCAGTTTTCACTGGTATGGTGTGGCATTCTAGCATCCCTCAGAGTTTGTGTAATGGCACTGAGATGCAGCCAGGTGCCTTACAGTAAGCAGCCATTCTAGAGAATCTGGGCCTGTCGAATCTGTTGGCTGAAAGGACCTACTGGACATACAGGATATACAGGCTAGCCCACTTGGGGTCTCATCGACACTCCAGTGTGTAGCTCTTGCCAATGCTGGTTTTCCTTGCTGATTAGGAAGGATGGGTAATTTGGACTTCCAGCTGCAACCTGGGAATGAACTGGCACCTCCTCCACTCCACTCCTGTCCTTGTAGTCAGGCTAACTCTAGAATTATGAATGAAGACTCAGCTTTGCTTTAGGCCACTCCTCAGAAGGCCATGTCATCTCTTTTTCAATGCTCATGGTTTGGGAAACTAGTGGTCTGGATGAGAGCCTTCTCTTAGCCTTAAAGACAAAGGAGGCAAGCACATACACAAAAACAGATTTGACATTTAAAAAAAGGAGAAACTGATTGGGAAGTGAGTATAATGAATATCTTTATATCATAGTATATTGCTAAAAGAAAAATGAGGACTCCAGTAGGCAAATAAAGAATAATAAGTAAACATATACACGTGTGCATGCACACCCACACACACATAATCATTAGCACCTATCAAATTAGCTTGTTTCCCTTCCTAACCTCACTTTTTTATATTCACAGATGCTTTTACAATAAAATAACAACCACACTTATCATCTCACAAATGCAACTGTGCAAGAACATAGGTTAAAAATAGCATATAGAAATAATATGTATGTACTCGTTACAGTGAAGTACATACAAAATATAGACAGACTCACCAATAAGTACATACTCTTGGCAAATGTGTGGCTTGGTGGTTAAGGAAAGTATAAAGGGAGGAAATTATGTATTAGATCGTAGGTAAGAAAAAAAGATGGGGTTTAGCAAACTATTAATTGGGTACATAGTTACATGCTTTGATCAAGGTAGTTGGCTAAGAATTATATTTGACTGAATTCTGTTAACAACACAGCACTATTGACCTCTGCGGTTAGCCCTCTCTCTCCTGCCCTTTTTCTTAAAAAAACATAGTTAAGTACACAGTTAAACTGACACTCTCATACATTGCTCTTCACTTTGCAAATTGTTATAAATACTCTAGAAAGTAATTTGATAAACTTACTGTCCTCTCTAATAGAATAATCTTTACTTTTGGAATCAATCACAATTAAACAACCCAAAATATAGATTAAGTTTTGTGTATAAAACTGTCGCAATGTCATTTGAAGTAAAATTTTAGAAATGACCCACCTATCCAATTATAAGGGAATAATTATGGATCCATCTCAAATCCTTTATCAAATACCCTGGGTTATAATAAAGTGACTTGTAAATATTATATAGTCACTTAAAAGAATATTTAGGAAAACTTGTAGCAATCTGAAAATGTTTATGGTTTGTATAAGGGGAAATCAGAATACTACATTAGAAGTGCCTCAAAATTTCCCCTCAGGGGAAGGGAAGATGAGAGAATCAGTGGGAAGAGATAATTGCAGAGTATTAACAGAATTAGTTTTGGAAGAGGTAGTGATGATATTTTTCTAAACTATTCTTAATGAAGTTATATTACCATAAAATGAAAATGCATTTATTGAAACATACCTTTAAAAAAGGAAAATACATTTAAATAGAAAAGATATGGAAAAATAAATAAATTTAAGTAGTCAGTGAAGTCTAATCAACATATCTGCCTACTCATGTTTTTTTGAATATTTGAAAACTAAAACATGTGGGTTCCTTTGGTTTCCCTGGTCTTTTCTTCTACAGTGAATTCATAGTCAGTGCTGCTGTTTTGAATGGATTTTAAACATATGGGAACAAGAGATGGTTGAAAACTTAAATTGCCAGAGTAGAAAATGAGGTCATACCTAGTATCTGAGAAAGGACAGTGAATTTCGTTTCTTTGTATTTCAAATCTTTGACTTGATTCTTGGGATCCTCTTATCTGCTGTTGGATCTCTGTAAATTATTCTTTATTTCAGTCAGTGTATGCTTAATTTCTAGTTGGTCCTTTTTCATGTCCTCCATGGTCTCACTATACTTATTGAGGGACTCATTAAATTTACCGGCGGTTTCCATAAAATTCTTGAAAAACCTTATAAACGTGGCCTTGAACTCTATATCCAGTCATTTGCTTTCCTCCATTTCTGCCATTTGTGACCTGTTTCTCTGTAT